GAAGGATAAGCTGAGTTCAATGTGCACTGCACTGAATAAAGAAGTGAAGAAGAGTGCTAGAAAAGACAAACGACAATTCTACGACACGCTGGGAACTGAAGGAGAACAGGTGGCAGGTAAAAGAGACATCAGGGCACTATAACAGATAACAAAGCCTCTCTCCGGGAAGAGATCAACCCAGATGATAAATCAATGAAAGATGGTCAAGGGAACCTGATCACCAAGGAGGAGAAACAAATAAAGCAATGGGCTGATCACTTTAAAGGATTATTGAATAGACCACCACCGGCAACTCGCCCAGAAATAACACTAACAGCACACACGGAAATGCCAGTGGACACCACTCCTCCAACGAAAGAAGAGATCCTGAATGCAACCAAGCTACTGAAGTCCGGGAAGGCAGCAGGACCAGACGGCATCCCTCCCGAAGCACTGAGGACGGCCTCAGAGATTACGCCAGATTTTTTCACTCCATTACTACAAAAAGTTCGGAAAGAAGGAAAGGTGCCTACTGATTGGAAGAAGGGCTACCTCGTCGAACTGCCAAAGAAGGGTGACTCAGGCCTGTGCAAGGACTGACTAGCGTGGAATAATGCCCTTGTCCACACCAGGTAAAATACTAAGTCGCATCATCCTTGAGAGAATAAAGGATGCACTGAATACTGTACTCCTCCCGGAACAAGCTGAATTCAGGAAAGGGAAATCATGTGCTGATAAATTGCCACCCTACACATCGTCGTTATCAAACAAAGAATAGAATGGCAGTCAAACCTCTACCTCAACTCCATCGACTTTGGAAAGGCCTTCGACAGCGTAAACCAGAAGTAGTTTGGAAACTACTTCAAAATTACAGCGCACCTCAATTCTTTGTCAACCTCATTCAACCGCTATATGACAATGCCACGTGTCAAGTGATCCACAATAGAAAACTCAGCAAGTCGTTCGAAGTGCATACAGTAGTAAGACATGGCTGCCTTTTATCACCTATGATATTCTTAATTGTGGTGAACTGGACTATGCGTCAGACTGATAAGGGCGAGGAGTCAGGAATACGCTGGACGACAGATAAGAAGACTCTAGAAGATCTGGATTTCGCAGATGACATATACCTAATGTCACACAAACTTGAAGACTTGCAAGCGAAAACCAACAAACTGGCTGAAGAGGCAGTAAAAACAGGACTGCAGGTGAATACAGAGAAGACAAAGGTAATGAAAATAACCATTTAACAACAACAGCAACCCACAACAATCACCACCAACAAGAGAGATTTCACATCGGTTACCTCCTTCACATATCTGAGAAGCATCGTTTCAACTACAGGGAGAACGGACGAAGATGTCAAAGTCATAATCGGAAAGGCAAAATACGCCTTCATCAACCTGAAATCAATTTGAAAATCTTCTGCAGTGACTCAGCATAAGAAACAAGATTCGGATTTTCAACAGCAATGTGATGTCGATCCTTCTATACGGTTCAGAAACTTTGTGTGTAACGAAAAATATTTCTGACAGCCCGCTGCAGACTTTCATCAACAGCTGCCTTCGCCTGCTTCATATTGAAGATCAAATGGCCGGAAAGAATAAGCAACAAGAAACTGTGGGAGCAAACCAAACAAGAGCAGATCTCTCAACAGATATGTAGGAGAGATTGGAGATGGATCAGTCATACACTGATGAGGCCGCCGAACGACATCGCGCCCCAGGCCATTGATCGAGTGGTAACCAAATGGGAATCGACGAGTTGGTCGTATTAAGGTGACATGGAGGAGACCGTGTGAAGAAGAGGTGAGAGGGTTTGGTCAATCGTAGACCCAGCTGAAGACGACGGCGGGAAACCAAACAAAGTGTAGATATGTTGCTGAAGCCCTATGTTCCACTCGTCACGCGAGGGAATATTAAATAAATAAAATAAGACAATTAAAATTCAAGACAGTTCCATGCTCCTGAGGTTAAAACCAAATTCATGCATCCAAAAGGATATCATAAATGAATTCCTTTTAACTTGGTGAACATACTTCACTTTATTTCATTGGTCCCCCTTTTTGAAATTTTGTTATTTTAAATGAAAACGTTTTTTGACAGTGTGATTTTCTATCCTTATTTTGTCTTTACCTATGATTTTAACCAGACCCCTTCTTGACTTGTGTTCAAGGAAATTATCTGATGCAAGTTTGGTCACGGATTGATATTAGTTGAAAACCAGCAAGGAATGCTGGACAGCTGTTTTGTCCCAATGCAGGACTCTTAACCAGTACGCATTCACCTGGTTTCGAACCTAGGAGCTTCTGGCCGCAATGCAAGCTCGTAGACTATCCAGCTACTGGAGCCTGATTTACTATCCCATGAATCCTAACCTCCACCGCTTCATGATTATAGCTCGATCGGCAGACAATATTATCGATATTTATTTGTCCTCAGGCTCGACTGGATGGATTCCACTCAGCAGGACTGCCCACTTCAACTCCAGCCAATTTTCGGTTTTCGTGGATGAATGGTCTTTCAACCAACCTCGTGATCGGAAGGTCCTGGGTTCGAATTTCAGTTCGTGCGTACTGCCGATGCATCGTAAACTAGGAAGAAACAACTGTTCAGTACTCCCTAGTGGTTTTCAGTAGCTCTCTAACTGATATCGTTCCGTGGTCAAACTTCAGACGAATTGAATCCATACAAACCGACTTTTGGAAATCTTTATTGTTGGATAATTCTTTCACTTCAGTGATTCGCTGCTCGATTTTGACCTTTTTTATTTCGGTATTTATCGATAGTTAGTTTCAAGCATTGTAATTCCATGTCTGATACAAAAACCATCTTTCTTTTGACTAACAAGACTGCTGAAATCAATTTTTATATCCAAATGAGAGGTTTTCGGAGGTATATTGCCACACTTTAGTGTTTAGCGACGCATCTTCAGGCTTTTCCATTCACATTCTCACTTTCGAGAAGTTAAACATGAATTCTTCTGTGTTAAGCAGTGATTTCAAGGCCAATTAATCTGGTTTTACGGAATACAGACAAATTTTCGCCTCACCTGCTCTATATGTCTTTATTCCTTAGTATAACCATAATATTTAACGTTACTGTCATTTAGAAATTGGAAAACCGTCAATTGATGGAATGTTCAATCCTGAATTGGACATAAATGTATTATGCACTACTTACAAGTTAGGATGAACAAAAAAATGTTATTTCAATATGTCCAATAAGATACTAGCTCACACTGATAGTCGTGAAATCGTGGTGTTCTTTGAATTCACATCATTGTACCCTTCAATTGGTCCGAAACTGGGGAAAGAAACGATGCAACAACTACTCTACACCGATGAATACATAAAAACACACTGTTCAAGTTGGATGGAACTCACAAGATTATGTTTTACAACATATCTAAAATTTGTCAATCAAATGTACTATCAGGTTGAAGGAACAATTTAGGGATCGCCCATATCAGGCTGAACAACTGAAGCCATTGTCCAGAGATTATAATTAATAACCCCATCTATCAATGAAAGCAAAAGTCTGTTTACATTATCTTGATGATACATTCGTTGCTATTAAAATAAACAGTTAATCAACATATTGGAAGACAATAAATTCACAAGAGAAGAAGAAGAATAGGGACAACAAAATCCCTTTTGTTTTAGATGTCTTAATCAAGAGAACTAACACAGGGAATTTGGAAACACGAGTAAACAGGAAATCAACACACACACACTTAGGTTGAATACTCGGCTAAAGCAGCAACAACCCAGTGAGTGACTCACAAAAGAAACTGTGTGCAGACATTTATTAAGAAAGTCAGAGCACACAGTGCTCCACTCCAGTGCTGAAGAGGAGAGTAGAATAAAAATATTTATTTACCGTTTTAAAAAAGAATGAAAACCTATAAAATTTCATCAAAAAACCTGTAAACTCAAACCGAAATACAAACAAGAAACCATCCTCAAAGACCACAAGAATAAAAAATACCTCTGAAATAACTGTTAGAATAATAAGACCATTTCAAATACAATCAATTCATTCAATACTGTGTACACCGAAGGATCGAATACCTAAAGAAGACATCATCATCATTACCGTCTACAAAATAAATTGGGTAAACTGCGATAAACAGTTTATTGGTTAAAGTGGGCGTTCCGTTCACCTAAGAATTCAGGAACATAAATTAGCTATGAAAAGATCTGATATGTGCATTCTTTCGTATCGTAGCATGTAGATAACTATGGATACCAATTTGACTGGCAGAATGTAGAGATTTTGAGAATTCGGAACAGTAAAAATGCCAGGGGATTTCTAGATAGATGGCAGGTGTTCAGAGGAATCAACGAGTAACAGACACACTAATATGGATCACACTTACCAACTAAGAAAAAATAAATAAATCACTTCTTAACAGAAAAGTTCAGTTTCCAAGTCGAAAATAATGATAAATAAATATATGTAATTTAACAACCGACCACGACAATAGTTGTCAGTGGGGAGATACAATTATATCACATTCATGGAGAATGCAAACAAGTTCACTTCTCATAGAAGCTTTCACTGAAGATGTTGTCCAGGAGGATAGCGAATGCTTTGCAGTTAAATCAACTAGCTCAAACAGCACAGTCAAAATGAAGTCATCTCCATCTCAGATAAAAATTTTCTCAAACTACTGATGAGCGACATTCATAGGTCCTTTTAATCAGTTCTGTGTAAAAATCGATACTCAAAGTTAAAGTACTTTACCGCCTAATAGAACATTAGAAAAATTTGTTTATATGTAAATAGAAAGTTGATAAATAAAAATAAGCGTGACATTGACTAGAAGAAGTGCACTAACACATAAGTCAGAAATTATAGCTGACTAATGAAATCTAATAATAAGAATAACAAGCAGCTTTTGACCTGATTATGACATTTTTTTCTTCTTCTATTTCTGTAATTGGACTTAGAATTGGTATAAATATAAACGAAAGTAGAAATAATTAGAAATCACTAATTAGACGAGTGAGACAAACCATGAGGTTTGTACTCTCACCGATTGTGATTCCACTCTTCCTTTTATTATTTGGGTATAATACACTCTACAAAGGTAAGTTGAATATGATTTTTCCCTTCTTAATCTGAGTTGATAATTTAATGTGAATTGTATAGTTTATTAATGCATGCACCGATAGTTCAGAGGTAGAACACTCAGCAATCATGCACATGATTTGAGTTTTTGGCTCCAGTTGACTCATTCCTCAACTTCGGCTAACTAGTAATAACCCGGGTAGAGAGTGGAGGTAACAGATTATGACTGTGAACTACAAAGATTTTCAGGAGATATGTTGTGCATGGAATTTGAAAAGCATAATTCATCTTGAATAACAGAAACAGTAGGGACCGATTTAGTGGATGAGATTATGTCTGTGTAAAACAGAAATTCGGACGGTGTGTCACATAGCTTGACTGACGGCATGTTTCCTCCCATACTCAAATAAATAATAATATCTGTTTCTTTATAAATGTGAATTAAAAAGCATTCGGAATAAGTTTTTCGATGGTGAGATTGTTTGGGGGGGAATGCTTCAAACCTGGTTTTATTTATTTATTTATTTACTCATTCATTCCTTTGCGTACCGAGTGCGGAACACAGGGCTTCAAGTTAGAGCTTTGAAGTTTCAGTTGTAGTGATGTTTATTTTTTTATGGGGTGGGGTTGCTAGCCTCACGCTCAACCATCCGTCTTGCTCCGGTTTTACTACTGGCTAAACGAGGTCGAGGAGTGCGTTGGCCGAGGATCAAAGCACAGACCACGTGCGCTGTTAGCGAGCGCTTTAACCTTGAACCACATTTGTCGATGACGTAAAATAAGACTATATTGCCTGAATTTGAAACTCACCTCACTGATATCGTATATCTGTGCTCCTTCACCTATTTGTATTGTTAATAAACGTTCTTATGTATCTCAAGAAGATTGATTCAAGCATGTTCTAGTGTATACTTGTTACAATAAAAAAACGACTCGTGCGCATAACAAGTGCTTATCTCTAGAATGTACTCAGTCTACGAAACCACTTCCAGTCACCAAGGATGACAGTTTACCACTACTGACATGTTTGACCATATTCTGCCAGAATGACTAATCTACTAAAATGTATGGTAAGGTGTGCAGGAAAAGAGATTTGCGTGATTACATCACAGTTTGGTGTTTCTCTAAAATTCCGTGACAATTTGCATACTTGCCAAGAATAAAATATTTGATAATATTGATACAGGAGCTGAGAAGATAAATGAACAACCCGTAGACTGTTACTCTATGAGTAATGTTTTGATGGAAGGTGGTCTGATAGAAAGACAACAACATGGTTATTTTTGATTTTCTTCACTGTTTCTGTTCACAAGAACATGGGTATCTATAAATGCTCTAATAATTTCTTATACTGTTTGTCCTTCGTTGTATCAGTCACGCGTGTTGATGTACGATATGAACACGTTGTAGGAAACCTTAACTCATTTTTCGCCTCACCGATGAATATCATTCATATGAGAAATGAACAAAATGTTCAGTTTATCACTTCAGACAAGCTTAGGTAAAGAAATTATCTTGATTTCACAACTTCAGCGTGGAAGTAGGAACACGTAGTCCCTATCAACAGTAACTAATCTTAGTTCTCTGCATGACATCTTCATACATTGAACAGCAGCAAAGATATGGTAGTTCATTTCAGTCAGCACGTTCCTAATACATTCCAACTAATTTTTCTACACAAATATCAACAAAGGAACTCTGCAAACAGCTTGCGATAATTTTGAATTTGAATTGGGATTAACTGAAAAAGCGTGTGCTGATATGTGTAGTGCAAACTTCAACTAATTGTCGTCCGCACTGAACTGAACCAAACACCGAATCAGTAGTTTGTTGACTCGTTCTTATTCACGAATGAAACTTTTCTTCATGTAGTCTTGGTAAATGCACCATCAGCTGAAGCAGCTATTTTGCATCTGATGGCTGTGTGCCATGAGAAAATGTGCGTGTGACACTGTTGTAGACTGAAACTCGAACAATTTCTCATTATCACGCAAAGCTTATTAACAGCAGTTACTGTGGTTTTGTTCACATGATAAGTGTGATTCAAAATGTTTGAAAACTAAGTGTCACACGTTGTTTGGTTTCATCCTGTGATCAATTGTATCATCCACTTGTGTTATGACAGTATCAGCGAGAACAGTGAATAATGACCCAAAAACTACGGGACGAATTTTAACTTTGGCATTTTTCGGGTTGTAAAGTTGATTACTAATTCATTACTCAATAATTTATGGGAGAAAATGTTATTTTTGTTTTTCTTACAGTTTCAGCTCAACGAAGAGCTTCTACTAATTCCACAAATCGTGGCAGATCTAAAGTTACAGGTTAGTTAGTCAGTCATTTGATTTCAATTTTCACTTCTTCTTCTTTACTACTTCAAATATCATGGCGATTCAAATAAAGCTGAACTACAATGTCCACAAGTTTATGCATTCAGACATATGCAGCCACCTCAAAGGGATATTTATTCCCGAAAACAATTATTATTGAGTACACTCCATTGTTCTGTGCGGTTTTTTACTGGATACTTTTTGATGACTTAATCAATTCATGATTTTCAGTGACATTTTTACTTTTAACTTGGACTGAAAAATACAAATTGTATAATTACAGAGTATCCTGAATTTTGTCGAGACGTGAAACACAATTTACTCTTCTATTCGTATTGTATGCTATCAAGTAACCAAACATTCATTGTGGGGCTGAAATTTCATTCAGTCCTGTATTCTAGTCTTCCTTTTAAGGTGTAAGTGTCAGCCACCTTTCAGTACAGTGGGCGAAAGTGAAGAGGAAATTATCCATAAACATACACATGATATGATGCACATTTGTGTTCTATAGTGACAAAGAGAACTGAATATTCAAAAAAAAACCAGTTTCTCGTCCATTAGGATCTGACAATGAATTGGAAGGTATTCTTCCTCAATTTTCAGAAGCACTGAGAAACAAAGAGCTGTACATTTCAAAATTGTACGTGGATTTGACTCTACAGATTGCCAATCTTCTCACAGAAGCACATTATCTCACTTACCACCAGTAAACGTTTTAGATGTAAAAAAAACTTGACAGAGCACTGACTACTGCTTATTCATCTTTGTATAATGTTGTATGATTTGCTAATAATAATAATAATGCATACGATTACGTTTCTCATACATTTTAGAAATTGCCTCAGTGGAACTGGTTCTGTCAGTCAGAGAGTGGAATGAAACAGCTATCACAAGAAATAGTGAAGAATCACTGAAAATTTTGGATAAATATTGTCAGGATGTAAGTAATTTCAATGTTCAGTGAAATAGGAGTCCGGGAAAGAGAGTTTTTGACGATGTCTGAATATTTATCAATACAATCCCTTGACAATCACTGTGGAAACTATCATGTTCAAGACAATGGTGTCCATGATGGAAAACGTGTGTAATTGTTATACAACAAGGGCGATATACTTGCAATACACATTTGAAATCAGTCGAAGAATTACTCATCACACTACTATGAGGGATTTAGAGGATATTCATATTTATGTGTCTTAATTACTTTCAGTCTCATGATCGAGGAGGCATAAACACTTTAATTTATTAATTAACTGTCAATTTGTAAATATTAATCTCTTTGGCATTCTCACAGTGTCAGCAGTCACTAGTGACTCTGCAGACAGGCTGACCTAATTTCAGTAGACTATTTGCGTATAACTTATGATTTCTCTCTGTTCTTTTGTTGATGTAATCAGGTGAGGGATGTGGTGAGGCGTATGGAAAGGAAACTGCGTTCAGTCGCCTTATCATGTGATATTCCATTACAACTGAATCAAAATACTACAGGACTCCAAATCACAATACAGCTTACGATGTCGTCCAAGAAATTGGAAGAAGCGTTCTCGTCAAAAAACTGGATCAACCAATTTAAAGAATCAGTCAAACCTGGAGCAGTCCGAGTTAATAATAAGTGGCCAAAGGGTGAGTGAAACAAGTGGTGTGCGTGTCTCATGACTAGGAATATACTAGTGGTTGGTAGAATAACTACTTTCATTTGTGAAATAATAATAAGGCGATCTATTGATTTAGGGGAATAGTAGTTCGTCAGCTAAATGGTATTGATTGATTGATGAGTACGCTCATTTATTTTTAGTTGTCAATGCAGTGTGACTAATGCAGTGAATAGTGATGATAATCTATGAGAGTGGTTTGAATTTGTGAGCATATTAGTGGTAGTTTTATGTCTCCATGTAACTGTTCGCAAATACACTGATGTTTTCGAGAGTCCATTGAATCAAATACGTTTATTTCATTTGATTACAGCTATTGTGTCAGTAACGAGTAAGTTGATGATTTGTATCATATTTTCATGTGTTTTCTATTTCCATTAATGCAAACTAAAACTCATGCATGCAAATGGAACTCTAAACTCTGAACAATATCGTAGTGAATGCGGTTGTATTTGATATTTTTTTTAGTAATAACAGTTTGCTTTTGGGTTCCGGAAGGAAAATAAGTCTTCAGAAGCATGTCTTCATTTGAGTCTGTTCTCTGAAGTCTTTCAAACCCAGCTGTACAATCGCTCATACGCTTTCATCGCTCTTTCACATCATCTGAAACTCGGACTTACACCCAACTAGTTGTTTCCAGTTTAGGCTTCACCTGATGACCTGTTACATGATGTTACTCAACAGTTTCAGCGTATTTCTAATCAAACTCCACTTCTTCCTCCATATCTGTTGGGTGGTATGTCATAGGCTATTCCATTGCCAGAGTTCCTTGCTGTTAATCTTCTCCAACAGGCTATCCGAAATTCAGTGTGGAGAGAAGGCAGCTGACTGACTTGGGATTATTATTGAGAATTTGGATCTTGTTATTTATACTGAGGGCAGGAATTTTTCACACTAATTTCAAATTAACGAAGGTCTGTCTTGCCCTTCCGTTCCTGCCTCTGACGATGTCCTCAGTGCCACTTTTAGTTACAACATTTTCACCTAGATAAGTGAGAGAGGTGACTGCCTTTAAGTTTCCCTCGTTGATAACCATTAGTGCTTGCTGACTTTGATTAAGTATCTTTATCATGTCTGTCCTCTCTTTATTCATTCAAATTCCTTTCCTCACTGCTTTCTGTGCCAAACTGTCGGTCTTCACTTGTAGATCTTAGGGTTTATACTTAATTTGCTTTTATCAAAGGAAGACACTTCGGCTGGCTTTCTGCTCAAAGGCTTTCATTAGCCTGCATCATTTCGTCTCCGTGACTCTAGGGAAGCAATACATCAAGCCTTCCTTCCTTTTCTGAACTAAGTACCGGCTGGTACATTAGGAAGTTTGATTTTTAATTACCAAACTAGAGCTTTTAGCTTATACTTTGGCACAGTCTCCTAAGAACTGTCTGTCTGAACACATTTCTGATGATTCAAATCATTCCGGTCATTTGAATATTCCTCCATCAGAGTGAAGTATCATTGGTTATGACAAAGCTCACATTTAAATGATGCGGCGATGCTTGCAACAATAAGCAAAACCCTAAACTCCCTAATTCATACTATGGATTTCTGAATACAACATGTGCTATGGTTATTTGTCTACAACAACAGAGTCCAAGTAGCTGCGAGTGAATCAGTGTGTGTGTTGGGAGAGTAGTGAACGAAATGTCTGTATAACAGCGAAGGATGAAGTGTTCTCATCGTCTCAATCTATGAAATAAGCCAACTGACGATATTGTTCAATTATGGAGAATGTAATGCAACATTCACAAAAAGGTTTACCATTTTTTCAACAGCACCTGTAGGAATAAGTCATTTGTTATGTTTTCACTACATGAAACAGCAAAATCTGCATTAATTCATTGGTAATTTACTCACTATGACGCCAATTTCAGATGAAACGCTTACGCTCAATAACACTTATGAATTGAATCGTATAACTGAAACCTCGTTCTGCCAGAAGATAATTATTCAAGAAAATCCTTGCCTGATTGACTAATTTAGCCTTTAACGATATATTCGTCAGCTTTTTGCTGTGGAAGTGTTGTGCCTCGAGCAGTATTAGTCACTTCTGAGCATTTAAATTTTGTTAACATCGATAATCGGTGTATTATTGTTTAATCACCAAACATACTTTTCAATTTTATTTCCAGGTAAGGCATGGAAAAACGCAGGTGAGAAGATGACGTAATTTTTGATGAGTATTGTGACATTGTTAGGGAATTTCAACACTATGCTCTTTATTGATCAATGTGTATTGACTAAGGACTAGACCTCTCCTCTAACTAAGCACTGAGAAAATATTACATCGATTTTTTTACAAATACTCATTTTTCAATCTTAATGTGTGTGTGGGTGTGTTGTCAATGAAAGTGCATGTAGAGGACTACATAATCAGGGGACCTCAACAGTCAAATATAACAAGGAGAAACAGCGTTGGTATCAAACTACTGTCGCATAAGATTTAATGAGCTGATCGAAAATGCTCACAAGATTAAGGAGAAGTAACAATGGAACCATTGGCGAGAAAATAAATAAGAAAGAGTTTAGGACATTTGTGGTTTCACAATATAAGCAAGGGAAGTCTGAAACCCTAAGTAGGATTCCCAGTAAAGCAGGAATTAAGGTGGAGTTTTAAGCCTAAAGTTTCACTCAAAGACAAACTCTCTAGACTAAAGGACTCTAATGACATAATATATTTTACAAAATACTTTGAAACGACTGTGAAACCAACTGCATAGAACACACCAGTAGATCGTTGGTGGTCAGATTTTATGGACAAGAATTTATCTGAATGTAGAATGACTGGCCACACAAGGGTGAATAGTTTAGAGTGAGGCTTAGCAATCTTAATGCATGTGCTAACACACAGTTAAACAACAGGGGAGGGACAGAGCTAAACTGATGAGGGCTTATACATGTGGATTGAGTGAGATGGAGACTCTTGAATCCTTGTTTATCTGAGACATGCAGTAGGAGCTACGCAGTGTCAGTCCATCAGATATACAGACAATATCATCAGTAAGATCGAAGGATAAGAAATGATAAAAGTGGTAAATAGCACTTGTGACCTGATAAGAAATATGAGGAATAGGTCTTACCCGCAATGTCATCAGTAAACAAATACTGATGATATCGCTATTCGCTAAGAGCAGATAATTTAGTTGTGTGAGAGAAATTACGTCACCTTGTTCGAGAAGGTAAGATGAAATCTTTTGGAATTTTATTTTTTTCATTATTGTTTTCAAGAAGGGTGATATCATTTTTCTTGAATTGATCTTTATTTTAGAATACACACTGTCCTATCCTGTGACATTTCGAAATCTCCCCAGGGGTTGGTGCAAAAAGGTTAGTTGTCATGCATGTCATGATCCGTCAGCTGGTTTTAATTCGGACCTACTGAGTGATTATTCAGTGCAGCTAATTGGAGTATTTTACAGTGAAATACGACGAATACTGAATTTATCCACATCAGTAGGCCTGTTGTGATGTGGAATGCTTCATTCTATTTATGTACTATGTAAGGAGTATGTTGATCTCAGTTACAATGTGGCTGTTTATACCCTTCAAACGCGAGACTTTGTAACAACGTCTGCTAGTGAAGAGAATGGTAGCGAAGTGAGCGGGAATAATGATGAGTGTTAGTAGTTGTTGGAGATGTTTACTGTTACCCTTCTTATGTACTTACGCGGAAGGTTTACTGATGCCTGTCAGTCTGATCGACTCCGAGTTTTGAGGAATTGGATAGCCACTGCAATATTTTTCTTTGATTTGAAGTGCTCAGAGTTTATATAGATGTTAGCTGAAAACCTTGATAAAAGTGTCAGTCTGCTGATAACTTTGAGGACGAAATTTGCGTTCTGCTGATGTCCTACATACTGGAGCTTGCATTCAGTGGTTAGTATCCATTTCAGATTTAAGGAGAATCCGTGAAATGTTTATCTGTGCTTTGCTGCTACATTCTTATTTGGAGTCACATTAGCCCCGATGGATGAACTGTATACCGAATCTGGTTATACATAGGGGAATAAGAAGACGACGGAGAACAAGAATTGGCGTTTACCAACCTTCACGGTTGAGAAGCCACCACCTGAAAAATTTGTGTGATGTATTATTCCTTAATTTTTTCGAACTTATTTATTGTCGGTGATATATATGCAATGAAATCGGAAAATATAATGACACTGGTAACTTTAGATTGTATTTCACTTTATAAGGCTTCCGTCTTTCTCAAATGTGACAGTATGGAAAGTATGGAAGTGAGTAAGTACGTAAGAACGAGTAGCTCAGTGAGAAGAATACGGTTCTCAGTATGTAACTGTGAGGAATTCAATTTCATTAACATAGATGGATAACTATCCAAATCGAGGCATTGTACACGCTTACTAGTAAATAAATATGCCTACTACTGTAAAGATATATAAGTGATGCTTTCCGAATAGTTCCTCCTTTCTGACACAGCTGATTTTGTTTTCTAAGGGAACTTTTAAGCATAGCGGTAGATGGTTGTGTAGAGTGATTTTGATCTGTGTTCCACACGCCAAAATAGCTTCCTTCATGAACAGAATAACGACGAAGTGAAATGCATTCACTGTATAATGCAGTGTGCATATACATTGTCTTATGCCACTACCTCGTTAACGAGTTTCACAGAAATCAGCTAGATTTTGTCTAAAGACAATTTACTATGGATTGTGCGTTAAAAATTTCTTCAATAGTGTAAATAGTATCAAATACCTTTCAGTGATTCCTACTGATCTTTGATTTACTTTTTGAGGTAACTTTTGTGATCACTGTCAGATATAATCATATTTATTATTTTGAATGATGAGTGTTATTCAACTTTGAGGTTGTATTCGTTTTATTTTCAATTAACTGAGACTTTTCACTTTATCTGTCTGGCTGATGTTTTTCAGTTGGAGGAACAGGTGTCATATTTATATCCTGGGTTGACAGAAGCAATTAAGAGGTGTTCATTTATTAAGGCGACAAAATCAATCCAGTTGAAGTTATCAAATCAGAAGCTTTTACAAAGGGGTTACCTTAGTTCACGCAATGTTCTATTTTGGCGTTTCCTATTCTGTGTTACTAAAGTACAGTTGGCTGGCGCAGAATCAGGTATGTAATGGCAAAAGTAATATTTATAAAATCAAATATAGGATATGTTTAGTGGATTGTGCTATAGATTGAACAGATATTTGAAAGTCCAAGTGGTTTGTGTGGAACAAATATCTATGAGTTTCTGAATAATTGGGTGATAACCATTTATGCATTACAATGCTTGTTATCATCGAGTCGAAAGCAAACTAATTAGAGAGAACAGTATGTGTATAGTTGTGATAAAGGTGTCCATGACTTTTCCTTAACGTTATTAACAACCCCGTGAAGAAATATTTTTTATTTGGTTAGAATGCGACAACAATTTTTTATAGCCATGTGGTTCAGAAACCGGACACATCACCAAAATCATTTTTAACAGGCTACTGCAGGCTTTTATGAGTAGCTGATTTCACTTAACACACAGAAGAACAGAGAGCCAACCAGAAAGGACAGACGACATACAACTGTGGCTGCAAACCAACCGAGAACCTCTTAGCCAAAAAATATGGATAAGGAAATCGAGATAGATTCAACATAGAAAAGATTTGTAGCTCAGGTGGATGATTTGCAATTAATAGTGTTCTCTAAGCTGGTTGGTTTAGTTGCGGAGCTTTACAGGAGACGCAATTACATCATTTATGAAGAAATTTAAATCATTTCACTTTATGGTAAATATTGCACTGAAGATGTTGTCCAGAAGGACGACGAAAGCTCCGCAACTTAACCAACCAGCTCAGATAACACTATTAATTGCAGATTCAACATATGCTGAAGAGATGGTTGAGTGACATCACATGTTGGGCTGTCAAGTGGAGGCCAGACCTAGAAGCGATGAATTATTCGTCAGAAGGCGGAATGAAGAGGATGATATTAATAGGGAATAGGAGCAGAAAACTAAGTAAAATGCAGTTACGTTCTTGCAGTCCAGTTTTACACTCGAAACGCCAGTTATAGTAAAACGATCGAAGACAAGAGACTTGGTAACGAAATGTTTGTTAGGAACTTGATATTTCTATATGGTAAAATTATGTACACCTTATACGAAATTCATCATTTGCACAGATCTCCCGTGTTGTACTGTTTCTCCGCTTCGTATTGTATTTCTTTTTCTTCATTTCGTATAACCCATGTTTTGCCGCATCACTGGTTCATTTTCTCTCTTTGGCATCAAACTCATCTGTCCACCGTTTTTGTCACAAAGAACGACTTTCTGTATGCTACTGATAAACCTTATCAGTAGTACATGCCACAGTAGGATAAAGAACAATGAAATTATAGCATAAATAGGAGGCAGACCACCATTTCATTACGTTCTCTACAGTCTTTTTCACTTGGATTTCGATTGCCAAAAGGCATTGATTTCTTTTTCACACGTTCTCGTTCATGTGACTCTTTGGTCAACACTCAACCCATTGTTTCATATTCGGATTCCACTCTAGTTCCTTTTTTGGTGTGTGATACCACTCAACGTTCTCATTAGTATATGTCCGATCAGTTGATCTCCAATTCCCTGTCCATATATGTTGAATTCATCGGCTTCGTTACCAGGCTTCCTTGTTTTGTTTCCTTTTCATTTCTGGACTGCAATCTCTTCTTCAGTGTTGACTGAAGTCTGGAACATATACATGTGCCGATCATATTTGGCTCGCTATATTTGCAAAACAAGTGACAGCTTCACTTGTTACGGGATTGATCAGAAGTTGAAATGAGTGAGAGAACCATTAGAAAACCAGTCGGGAGTACTGGAGAGCTGCTTCATCCTGGTTTGAGACTCCTCAGCAGTACACACCCACTAGAGTTCGAGACGAGGCCCTTTTTGTTACGAGGCGAGTTCATAGACCATTCAGCTACTTGTTCCTAACCAATGGTATGTGAATTTCAACGTCTGCTAATCTGGTGATGTGTATTTAGCGCAACACTATCAGCCAGTGTCTGTAACCCATATCAAATCTTGATCAATCCGGTAACCAGTCAAACCCCTGTACACCAACACAAGAAAATTAATCTGATGCTGACTGGTGACTAGCTCTATACCGGAAGTTACTTGACATTATAATGAGAATTCGTAGCCAGCGGGATCCATCAGGTATTCAATCAGTAGGTTTATTTACCAAGTTTCGATAACAGTCAATAACTTTAGGTATATACTAACAGTTTTATAAGGAGTTTCTTTGTAACATAAATCTTCACTTTTCAACATCATTTTCAGAGATTCTCGTAGCTGAAATGAAACTTTCAGTCAAACCATTGGTAATTGCTGACTACAACAAATCACACCGTCGATTCTTAGAAATCTTGGACAACCTCTGCAAAGATGTGAGTGCAGTTTGCTTTGAAAATTTTTAAAAAATGATGATGGAGTGTAAAAAATATGTAGACTTTTTTTCAAAGTCAATGTCCTCTAATATTGTTGAATAACTTCCTAGTTTGTTATAGTATTTTTTTTGGGAAGATATCTGAGGAAAACATTAGTAGATCTTGGAGATTGTATTATTTAGCCGTGGAAGTAACAAGATCAGGATAGACAGCATGTTCATCATCAACCATATCAGGATGTCCATTTATTTGCTAAAATGTCGACTATGATATGTCGAAATACGGAGACAACTCTAAAACTAGGATTCACCTCCTGTGTTGGACACTTTTTTCTCATTTCTTTCATACAGACAAATATACCATAGTATGCTTCATAGGTTTTCGTAAGTATAGAGTATAACTTGACAGAAGAAATAACGATAGTGTAATAGCCGATTGCGTCGGTGGCATAGCAATTAGGACGCTCGCCAACCATGCACAGGGTCCGGGGTTCGATCCCCGGCGACGCGCTCCTTTACAAGCTTGAAGCCCTGTGTTTCACTGGGGAACGCAAAGGAAAAAAATAGCCGATTCCGACTTTTAGCGTTGTCCCTGTTCCTCTCTTCAATGAAATAATTCAGCATTTATGGTGGAGTGGTAAAACAAAACGTACAGATTCCTTTGTGTTTAGAACAAGAAGTTATCCGTTGTTTGTTCTTCAAGATGACGATATCATCATGGTATCAATAGAAATGCCCTAAATGTACACATGGAAGGCTGTAGTTAGAGAACACTTACACTCACCAGCATCATCAGTTAACCAACTAGGTTCAGTGTGAACAATAGCCCGAGGTATTGAATTCTGGGGAAAGAAATCAGTGAATCACATCTGTGGTACTTGTCAATGTAAACAAATCACCATATTTTTTATTTTCTCGTTGATTGATTAGACCAAAGTGTTCAACCTCTTTTGATATGTTAGCTCCTTGTACGCATGCATCAACGACGTCTGTAGACTAAATCAAATTGATTTGGTGAATATTGACTAGCAATGGAATCAAGTAGGTGCGCACTTCGTCCTATTTGCGGCTCATTACTTAGATGTATTACTCAATGAGTGACGGTATTCTAACTGATTCTGGAATCCAGTACCAATCGTCCAAGACTTCAAAGCGGCATATTCTAGAAGATGAGAGCCACCAGAAAGACCTTTTATGTAATGGATGTCTGCTATTATTTATTTTAAATTGAAGTTTGATTTTTCCGTTGATTGATGGGCCCGGCTGATTGGACATGTCAACCGAGGCCGGACATTTCAGTCCAATCATTCAGCGAGAAAGTCAGACTGAATTAGAAAAGAAAGATAAGTGGCAACCACTTCATAAGGAGTGGCTGTCGTGGCTCTCGTGGTCTAGAGGATAACGCTTTGGTGTTTGATAAGATTGGTTCTGAGTTTGAGACTCAATGAGAACACCACCATTCACTGGAGAATACATCCAGGTGCGAAGTGCACATCCCGGAATCAACTGTGTGTGTCACCATACGTCAAAATAAATCCCCACTTGTTTAGACCATTACTCTCCGATTTGATTTCTAAATCTATTCACTAAATTTTCATCATTAATTTGCTTCATAGACTGTTGTGAAATACTACTGAATTTACTTTCAAACTTAAGAGTACTTTCTACTTGTTTCTGTTTTTGTTATCTTGCATAGGTAAAAGAAGTAGTGAAGAGAATAGAGCCAAGATTGAACTCAATTTCACTGTCATGTGATATCCCCCAGTTGGATCCAAATCAACTAAATACTCCTAGTAACATTATAGTACTACTGGCAATGCCAAATAGTGAAGTGCAGCAGGCATTCCAGTCAGAAGATTGGTTTGAAAGTTTAAAATCATCCCTTGAATCTGCAAGTATATTAGAAAGTGATAAATGGATAACTGGTAAGTGAAATGAAGTCAATAGGTTTATATGACAATTTCTGTGTTATTAATACAAAGAAAAGGGATTAATTAAGGGTGAATGTATCAGTTTTTATTTCGGTACAGTATGCATCACTTGCTCGTGGGTAGAATGTTGACCAATCGAGAATTTGGCGCAGTGTTTGATTCCCGATGGACCTACTCCTAAACCTCACCTAACAGACCATAAGCCCAGTGGGCGGGTAACTTTGAGCGTCAGGTAAACCATCCCACTGTGTGTAGGGAAAGCATGAAGACTACCGGAACCACTGACTGAATAGGGAGTACTCTACTGCTGTGTCATTCATTTTATCAGCAAGTATAAATGACCCCAACAGAGATTGAACCCAACTAACTGTCTAGTTTTCTTTAATTTTTAACTATCTGATTTCAGTCCAAATTCAAACTTGAAGCCAATAAAATCTCTACAGATTGAGTCAAGAAGATGTAAATATTTACTTCTACAGATACTTGATACCACTCTATGTTGACCATAGGAGAAAAAAAGTGGAAACAGTCTTCTTAAGCATCCTCGTGTTTGCTGAAAAGTATAACTTGATTGTCAGAGGAAGCATCCTCTGACTAACTGTTTAAGATTTTATTTCTTTAACAGTATCACCATTTTTCACTGACACACCGTGATGAATTACACTGTTGTGCTTATGCACATTTACCAAGATAAAATCCACGGACTATTACAGAATAAACAAGTTTATTTTTGACATTTGTATGGTCATTGAGATAAGGATTGGGTTCAAATACATATTGCATTGGTGGGACTATTTTTTAAGGACTAATTTTCAATAAGATACAAAAAATAACTTTAGAAGCTGATTCTAGTGGATTAATTTTCTCATCTGTTCAACTTGAATAAAACGTAGAATCTACAATGTCACTTACCAACAACAAAGACAATAATAAGAAACTGAAAGGAAATCGTCCACTTTACTTACCTGGATAGTATCATGTGAACTACACGTTGCGTGGATAAAGATTTCAAAGCCAACCAGGACCGATAAACAGAGACAGGTGTTCATTACTGTAAAATCGGCATGGTCATTTGCACTATTGAGTATCAGAGGCAAGATTCAAATTCTTGAAACCAGTGCCAAATCGGTGCTGGTTTAGACAATTTTCATTAATGATATGAATTTCAGTATACACAATGAGCATTATTGATGATGCACAGCTGATAATCTCTTTTTTCCTGTTTCAGATATCATTTCATTTGAAAGTAAGCAAAATCGTTGTATTTTCAGTCTTAAGCATAGATTAAATTACACACAGTTAGCACGGATAAAGGTGTCGAAACCAGATTCAAAACGACAGGGCACGCATTCACTATTCTTAAATCAGTTTGGAAATCTACTACACTCATTACGAAAAACACAGTTCTCATTTTCAACACCAATGTTAAGTTAGTCATTTCTAACCCTTGGGTCAGTAACACTGAGCACACGTCTTGAAAATGCATTTCCGTCAGTTTGGAAGCTTTTATCGACAACTACCTCATTCCATATTAAATGCAGGCTGGATGGAAAAATATTAGCCACAAGAAATTCTAGGAACAAACCAACAGGAGAGAACGTTTGCTCAACATCTTTTTCCGAAAGGAAATCACTATGGGTCGGACACACGCTAAAGTCACTGTCAAGTGATGTCACATGTGAGGTCAAACACTGAAGGGATACAGAAAAGGAATTGACGAGTCCGACGTCTGTCCGAGGTTAACAAGGAGGAGATCATGTAAGGCAGAAATGAGAGACTGTTGACGGTCATGTGCCCAGCTACACAGGACAGCAGAGAATAAGAAAGTGTGGTGATGTGTCGTTGATACGGTGTATTCCACTCAGGACGAAAGTGGACAAAAGTTATAGAAATACTACGGACACCATCTTAATTTACTGTCAAAACAGACAGTTTACTACACTTAACGAAACACCGTGAATCTCACTTCGAAGTTTGTTTGTGAGATTTAATTGTCGTCTGCCTATTAGTTATAACTAATACGAATGATTGTTATCCCCATCACTTGACGAGTACTACGAAAATTAATGTATCTCAGTAATTTTATTTATAGACTGGCATATGCTACAAAAAATATTTTTTTAGAACTGGCGCAATTTTGTGATGGCTATACTGACAAATAAATGGGATAGTAGAAAGCTGTGCTTGAAGAATTATGTGGGCAGGAGACAACACAACAGATTATGCCTTACCTGATAAAACCCTTACATCCAACTTCAATGGTCGCAAAGTTTCATTACAACTTCTACAGGGATATCATAAACCCAGCCACTAACACACACAATAGCCTGATGTTCTCCTCTAAAATTTGCGATAAAATTTATATCATAAATCAACCAAATTTTGAAGGACTGCTGTAACTATCCGGTGACTCTTAAATAATCATTGTTACTCAAGACTCATGGTCGTGAAACAGAATTATCATTATACTTGAATAAACATGTGGATGGCTGTGTGTACAGTCAGAGAATATCCCAATCAAGTGAACAAGACTGTTAAGGTCAAAAGTGAAATTTATCCTGATGAAATGTAATAGATATTAAGAAAATCATTAACCTTAAATTGTAGTCGTGCAAACAACGGCTAAATTATTCCATATCTGTTTCTGAGAGGATTCTAATCACAGTCTGTTGTGTTACACTTTCTTCTCAAGTCTCTACTTCATCTGACCTTTTCCATGGACATATAAATTATCATTTTCTATGTGCAAAAATTTTACTGGAGATGTTACTTAAATCTGTTTATAAGTATCACACATTGTGTGACTAATTTCGGGAGATAAACATTTCTGAGAATATCACTAATTTTTTTTCTTTTTATTTTCAGAGCCGCAAAACTTCGAAAAAGGTGAGACACCTGCCAATACCTCATCTTTTAAACTCCTTAGCCACTATTATTAAATTACTGACGAATAAAAATCCAAAGTTAACATTGGTCGGTTATTCGGAAACAACGAAATATCGTGTGTCCAGGTTTTAGCATTAATGCTGAGTGAATTTTATTGGTGAAGTTTCTAATTCTGTCTCATTTAGACTAAGTGACTCACCATTTTGCTACACTTTGATGTTGGGAAACGGTTCGGAGGCAGTTGACAGGAAGCCATGAAAATAAGTTTTATGATAATTGTTACTCATTTGAGAAAAGATCATGTGCAAACGTGACTGGCAGGACTTATTGGAGAGTAAAACTAAGGACTAGATCATTCCTTGCATTCCTACAGGAGTTCACTCTTGTGCTGGTTAATCTGAGTGGGGTAATTCTACTAGCTGGAGTGGTGGATAACACTAACGTGAATCTCTAAGGATTGCATCAGTTCTTTCTAGTATGCAGATACTCCTTGCTAACAAGTGAGAAAATTCACGAAAAACATTTGTAGACCTTTCTGCCAATAGCCTTCAATCTCAATCAAAGAACTAAGGAGAAAAATAGATCATAATACACAGATCAATCAAAAGTATAAATATTAACTTGATAAAGTTAAACATTCCGGATGTTCTAATGGAGTTTACATTCTGTGAGTAATTCATCAGCTAGGAATGAACAATTTTTCCGGGAAAACATTGTGCAGAATGACGTCTTGCTAACAGTTACACAATTTTGTCATACTCACATGCATGAGAGTATACATGACGATAAATGAACTTCATGTTCATTTATTACGTGGAAGAACAATGAAACGGACACTATTTAAAAAAGGCGTCCATATGTGTTTGCACAAATTCATATTTTCTCCACATTATAAAACGAACCTCAATGTAGATTTCCTGATGAATCAACATCATTTGACAGTTGTTTCGATCCAGTTTGAAGCTGTTCACTGCCAACAGCCCATAAACCAATCAGCGATTCTAATCTGGTATCTAGGATGTTTATGTGTTTAGATATGATAGCTTGAAGGTCCAGGAGTTCAATAAGTCATGAGTTTTCAAAGTTTACACTGTCAAGCAGTCAGAAAATGGAAATGAAACAGCTGCCTCAAGTTCTACTTGGTTTTCAGAGAGATAAGTGCCGACAAAAGTAAAATGTTAAAAAAAAGATTTTCACGTTTTCTCATCTAATTTCTTAAAAATCTTCTGTGATTTATTTCAGGTGTACTTGACATCCATCTGCGAGAATCTAAGAATTTAAAGCTCACAGAACTATGCAACAAAGTTAGTTTTCATAGTATTTCTTTTTTTTCTTGAATTGACTAATGAAAAGTGACTTTATTCATTATGGCATACTATTGTCTCTGACATTGGTTCCTATCTTCGAAATGGAAGACTTATGTTAAATACGGAATAATACTTTGGCAAGCATAGCTGTGTTCTGCTCAATACACCTAATCTAAGTGATAAACAGACTATCATTGCTCTAAAATCAGTGTGAAAATCTACCACACTCAGCGTAAAAAAGCAATGTCCGGATTTTCAACAGTAAAGTTAAGTTGATGCTTATGTATGGCTCAGAGATTTGGTAGTCTCTTTAGCATAAGTATGTCTAACCAGGGTGGTGCAAACTGTCATCAACAACTGCCTTAGATAGTTTGATCCTCGATACTGTATGGCCGGCTGGGAAGGACAAGTAACAAAAACTTTGACAAATAATCAAGTGACAACCTGTCACCCAGCAAGTATGGTCACATTCTGATGTTACCACTGAGCGACATCTCAAATGCCAGGCCTTCAGTTTGAACACGAACAGAAAGCGGTGGTTTCGTTTCGTTATATAGGATACGGTCACTCAATCTAGGCCAGGGTTAGAACTCGGTCGATAGATATAAATGAGTATAATGTCGGAGATATTTATCTCATGTGAATTTTTTGGGTGTTATTCAACTATTCGAGGTGGAACCTCTAAGCTTTCATCATCACAATATATAATATCTTTACGACTACCTTTAAGATGAGTCAGCGTGTTAGAATTCTGTATGAGTTATATATATATATATTATACCTTCTAGTTGGCTCTGAATTTTATTTCTTTGAGATGCATCGATGACCCAGGAGAAGAATGTCTTACCTGCCACGCCTCAAGTGATCTAGATTCGATTGCCTGTCGGGATACTCATAAGCCTCACCCAGGAAAGCCTAGACGTGCATTAGGTTAACGACCTAACCTAATGAAAAACAATACAAGCGCTATCAAAACTCTGGAGCTACAAATAGCCCTATTCTCTACTCAGAAGGTAGAGGGATGAATTGAGAAGGAATGTGCAAAATTATTCTTATTAAAAACTAATTACTGATCTAGTTTCTTTCTTTTTTTGTTTTAGCATAATAAAACACTATCAACAATGTATACAGGAATTGATAAAGCAATAATTGCTTGCTTTGCGGGCATAGATAGAAATGCAGTAATAATGCGACTGTCATTAGTTGAACTAGTGAAGATTGGCTATTATAGTCAATATAATACACTGAATCTGCGTATCAATGATGCTTTGTCAGTGAAAAGTAAAAATTTATTACCAAGTAAGTGGTTCATTTTAATGTTTCACATGCATATATATACATATACACGTGTAATATAATTCCAATGAGTCCTGACGGGAACACAAGACATCAACAGCACATTCCCATTTTTGTTCTTTCCTCTGCACTTCTCTTCATCTGTCCTCACGGCTGCTCACAAGCTCTAATCTCCACCTAACTTCATCTCCTTCATATCACTATTATTATTATTATTCTAGTCTCTCACTTCGCGCGCGATGACATCTAATGGCTTCCTCAGAGTATGTTCAATGCCCTCATTCTCATTATAATCAGTACATATCTTAATCGATACAATCTCTATTAGCTTAAAAATCCCCGTTGAGTCATATTGAAAAGAGAAGACGTTCAACGAAGAGACTCTTTTCGACAGCAAATTCATTCACATAGCTGTACAATTGCATTTATATACATTTATTTGTGTGTGTATACATGAGGTTTCTCAAGTTTAGACAATTTATCGGGTAATACAAGAATGATCTAATATAGAAACAAGGTTAATTAGGCAGCAAATAAAGTAAGATTGAGTTATTAAGTTAGATAACGTAATATAATTGACTAGAATGTTTCAACTTATTTCAGGATAGCAATATAGGGAATTACAGGTAGAAACTAAGTAGAGGTGGGGTAGAGAATGATGCCATTTAAATTAGGACTAAATTTGAGCAAATAAATTGGATGACGTAACATAAATGACTAGAAATTGAACGTTGGTCAAGTCAGTAACAGTGGTAAGGCAGTGTAGAAATAAAATCGGGTGGGAGTAGAGAACCGGAAAGTAGAAAATGTAAAATATTACAATTGTAAAGACAAAATAATACTAATTAAGAGACAAAAAGAAATAGAATTTTCCTGTCGAGTATTAAGACAGATTTCGTCCACTGCAGGTGTAGTGATTGAACGAACTTCTTCTGTATGCAGAGTTCAGGGCTTAGTAAGTGAATCGCCATTGCTACTGCAGCTTGAAGAAGTCTGACTCGTACACTTTTAGGAAGACTGCTTCGTATTCTGTAGACGACTTTGAAGTTTGTTTGGGGTGTAGCTTGGTGTCCGGAATCTATCAGATGTTCTAAGATATATCTGTGGGGGCATCGTTTTCTCCTTTGTAAAACTATACTGATAAGTGTTCTGTGATACGTCTGGATAGCGAACGCTGGGTACGGCCGACACACTTGGCTCCACACGAGCAGGTGAATTGGTAGATACACAGTGATGAGGCCAGCAGTGGTAGCTTATCATTCACGTTCATACGAATCATAGGTTTCGTGGAGAAGTTTAATCCTAGTTCTGATATAAGTATAAAACTTGGGCACTGTGATAGAGTATAACTCCATTATGGATAAGAATTTATTTTGATAAATCACACAGTGTTATACAGTAATATTAACTGTATAACACTGTGATTTATCAAAATAAAATTTTATCCTTAATCGTAGTTCAGCTACAAAGAAGGTTTTTTCAAATGAACGAGACAGTTGATTTCCTTGTGTTTCTGCAGATGAATCTCCATTGAATCGAAGTTTCATGTAGAGGTTTTTTTCGGGACGCTCAGCGTGGGCGGCTTTTGCGGTCTAGGATTCATGGATTTTGCAATAAATCATTCTGGGTAACCATTTTCGACGTGCAATCTCTTGAGATTGTCCAGTTCATCTTCTATGCTATTCGGGGTGCATATTCTGGGAACTCTGTAGCTGAGTCAACGGATCAGGCTTCGTTTGGTGTATAGGGGTACTCAACTGTGAAAGTTAGTAAGCTGTCCGTTCCACGTAGACTTTCTGTAGAAAGATGTTTACAGTGTTCCGTTCCATTCTCGTCTTGTTAGTTTAACGTCAAAAAAGGATATTTTGGAGCTAGACTCTTTCTGTAACGTGAACTCAATCACGGGGTGGTGGTTGTCAAAGGAATGTAAGACGTCGGCTAGATTTTCTTCGTTGTTGACAATAATGAAAGTGTCGTCAACGTATCTCTTGTAGAATTCGAAGGTATCGATTCTTTTCTTAGGAAACAGTTTTTCTCTGGATGCAAGGTTAAATCTAATATAATGTTTATATTATATATGTAATATTAGGCATTATTTTCACACGCTTATAAAAACTTTATCTTTTTTATGGAATGTTGTTGTGGTTGACAGTAGAAACGACCTTATGTAGTCCACAGCTTTATATATATATACATATATATATATATATAAGTTGCTTTAGTCAAACCAATTTCATGACTATTGTGGTACCATGAGATATAAATTATCACAGAAACTTATGCATTTACTCATCTTATTTCTGATCGGTTGTAATACATTGAATACAAGTAGGTTGGTCGTTTGTTAATTTCGATTGATTTCAATTTAATGCAATAAAAATATTTTTCAATATGTGTATTTGTAAGACTAAGACACCACGGTAGTCTGTAATTCTATATTAACTAACTTGTCACAAGTTTGTTCACGGCTTGATTTCCGTTAGGTAACCATTAAAAACGAGCAAGGAGTAGTGAAAAGCACTATTTCCTTCCCATTTTTGGGGCCCTTCAGCAGTATGCAGCGATGATTCTTCTCCTACGGAGATCAAACTCAAGATCATCGTGTAACGAGACTTAGCTGCTTGATCATTCAACCACTTCAACCATAGTCCAATTGTTCTTGAAACCTAACTTCTTTTTTTATTTGATATATCCTGCAGTGAAACAGCATCCTTCAATGTTTCCAGTTTATACACCAAATGTAGAGTTTATCACGACGTTCAGTGTAACTTAAAAAACTTTGAAACTCACTTTTTATCTCTGCTGTTCTTCTTTCGAATCTATCTGAAAGCTACTAGAATTTCCCACATCTTCTAAATAGGTGATTAGTTAATTTTGTCGTATATACAATCGTATGATTCTATATATAAGGCTTTAAGTAATAATAAAGCAGGACCTAATGACTATATCAGAATACTAAAAGGTTCTTCAGCTGAATACTCTGCATACATTTAATGTATGTGTATAACCACAGTTTTGTTCAGCGAAGGAGTATTTCTTTTCAACGACTTAATTTTCGAGCTGTACAGTCGTATTTTTTTATTACGGATAAAGGTGATAAGTGGTACTAGAAATTGTTTTTAGTCAATATACATATGATAAAAGCAAAGATAATCCATATGATGTTTAGGGGGTACAGTAGAAGTGGATGAATTACAAAACTTTTAAAATTATTAAATAAGCGAATTAAAATTCAGATTTCATAAGTAGGTTAAGTGTTGTCTAAAAGACTGTGAACACGATGATAATAACAATAAAGAAGGTGAAGATGAACTGAAGTGGTGAAATAGAATAAAATAGAATAAAGAGGTTCAACAAAACGTTTTAAAACACATAATTTATGTATGTTTCCACGTATAGCTAGAGCTTCCACTATTGCATAAATGCAGTGAACGTAGGCTTATAGAGAAATTCGATTGGGTCTTGTAGATAACTTTCAAGGGTGAATAACTTGAGGCTGAATGACCAAACTTCAGAATGGGGTCCACAAGTTGAAGACTTCATCATCCGATGCTCGCCTTTCATTAGCCAAACTGAGTGTACTTTCGGAGAACAACGTCCAGTGTAATCAACTCCGCACACACGTGGACATGAGTGATAGTTTGTTCTTGATGCATTGTAAAATCACATTTTGGCTGGTGAATACTGAATGTAAGTCATCTGCATGAATAGAGCGTTTAAAACATTTAAATAAACGACTTCTAGTCACTTCAGCACTAGTGTCACCTTTGAATGGCAAATTCCGAAACAGTGTCCTCTTGGTTCTGTGATTTGGCTGGGAATGGCATCTTGGTTGATGTTTCTTTCAACAAGTCTTCTAGGATATCCACTAATTACGGGAATTGTACGAAAGGTTTCCAGTGCTATACCAAGCAAAACAATAGAGCAGACATTTCGAATCCTGTAGCATGGGGAACAGATAAGACTTCTCTTCCTGTCTCAAGGTACTAAACTATTGAAGTCAGTGTACTACCCTGTAAAAGTTGGCTTTCAATAAACGCACATTGTCAAAATGCCATCCTCTCTTCTATCTTGTGCAACATATATAAGAAGAGAAACAAGGAATTCAAATCCTTTCAGATAGTGAAAACACAGTTCGTTGAGGACGAATAAGCATAGTAGAAGGAATTGATCATGCAGAATGACAGATAGCAATGTTTTAAAAGTTAATTTTAGGTAGATCAGGGGAAGGAGGTACGAGAGATCAAATTAAGATCATAATGGATTATATAAATAAAAATTGAATACGAATGGTATTAATAAAGGTGTACGATAAGGTCATGGTACTGTGAAAACATACTTTTAAATGAATCAAGAATAATAACAGATAGATTAATTTGATATTAACAGTGTTAATACATTTCACTTCTATTGTGTATAAAACTTATTTTGATAATGTCTCACAATGTTTTACAGTAATATTTACTGTTGACCACATTTCGACCACAATTTATCATTGCCACTTATAATCATATCAACGTACTCACACAAATTTTTTAACTTCGTTTGTATTATCCCATTATTTTTCATTGCTTAACTTGATTGGTAGTAGTATTTTCCATATTTCCGGTATGAGTAATGAGTCATTCCTATTGCATGTGTTGGGTGTAGACTCGATGAACCAGGATTCCGTAATCAACCTCTCTCTCCACCTACCTATGTTGCTCTCTAGACTTTTAACCCTATCCCACCCTATTGTGTGGTTGTTTGTTAATGCGTGAAGTGCAAATGCTGAGCTTCTTTCTAAATTACTTATCTTTTCAGGGTCAACCATTCTTCCCTTAGCTAAATTCTTATGTTCCGACAATCTGACTACCCCCGACCGACTAGTTTGACCTATGTAATTGACCTCACAGTCATTGCAGGGTATTTTGTAAATTATATTATTTTGTCGAATTGGGTCAACAGGGTCCTTTAACCTAAACAGCCTGTCCCTGAGAGAGTTTGTAGGTTTAAATATCACTCTAATTCCTGCTTTATTAAGAATCATGTGTGGGGTCTCAGATGTCCCATGCTTATGTTGCAGAACTGTAGGACTGTATTCTCACTTATTTATGTTATCATTATTAGTTTTACAATTTTTTCTTTTTTTTTGCTTTTGACCTTTACTGATCTTCCTAATGAATTCAATAGGATAGTGATTGAACACCAACGCTTGTTCTATCTGTTTCATTTCATCATTTAAGTCTTTTCTTGTACTACTTAGTGACACTGCTGGGTTCGTTAGCCATTTAACTAAGAGTACTTTTACAGACAACGGATGAGATGAATGCGTCGGCTTTTTATAAACGCTAGTGTGCAGTTTACCTTTTTCTATTCGTTTTATTTTACAATCTAACATCACAGCTAATTCTCCTTGTTAATCTTCCGATTCAAATGTGAATTTTATTCCCTTTACTAGTGAGTTTATATGTGTCAAGAAGCTAGAGATATGTTCTGTTTTTAACACTGTGAAAGTGTTATCCACATATATCTCCACCATATTAAATGCATTAAGAGCAACATTGTGAGACTTAATCAAAATAAATTTTTTACCCATAATGGAATTATACTCTACCACAGTGCACAAGTTCTACTCTTATATTAATGCCTTTTACTTACTGACTGTTGTTAATATTACTGATGCTTTATTCCATCTCTTATTAATGTCACTTACTCATCATCTTAAATTATTTCACTATCACTAGTATTGCTACTATAATCATTGTTAGTAGAAGTAGTGATAGTAGTGGCAGCATTATTTGAAGTATTCAGTCTGTTATTCCTGACCTTTCCAATTTCTTTCTCTGATAAATAACAGTTTACTGTCTATGGTATTTTAGCTCAGCGTAATCCATTATAGCGAAAATATTCATTCAGACATCTATAGAACACAAATTAATTGAGCAGAAGATATCCCTTTCGATAATTTCCTCTTCTGGCTCCACAATTATATTAGTTTATATGCATAGAATATTCTAGAATAGTAGTCAATAACAATATTATTGTTTTAATTAATAATATCGATTTGTAAAGTAAGATCAGTGGAATCATAGTTCACTAAAGATGCTTAAATTATAATAATAGTAAAAATATATTAGAAAATAGAATATCAACTAAAATAAAGGAAATTCCCCGCTGAACATTGCGGATCATTCGAACCTAGATGGCCAAGGTTAGGACAGTGTCTGAACTAGCTTCTTTTAGACGCATAAAATAGTCTTCTTAATGTAGATTCCAATGGCTTCAATAACATTTGGAAAACGAACTCTTAAGGAGAAGTTAAGATTTGTTGATATATGGTAGATGACTTTGAAAGCCGCCTCATTAACATCAATACTGTTTTCTATATCCAAAAGATGAGATGGAATAGCGCTACGAGTGGATTTTGTTTATCCTTTACTTAACCAACCACGCAGGGTGATGTTCGGAAATCCGACGACAAACACGACAGTGTAACTACCTCCTAATTTCAATCTCTCATACCCATTCATCGTTGTCTATCTGAACTTGACCTGTAAAATATTAACTATTCTGTCATATATATATATATATTTATAACAAGAATAATAAGAAGGTACAATCGTCACTTTCAAAACAGGCCTCTTCAGACTTTGCAATTTTAAATCCATTAATTTTAGCGTATGCCATCCCACTAATCGCTAATGAGACTTTTAACATATCAGAAAGTGTATTGTGAACAATTGCAAGATTGCCTAACAGTTGGTTAGTTTTGACCGTCATTTAAAATGTGCATGGCTGATAAGAACATGAAAAATGTTGGACAAATTATTCACTTGTATACATTTATATGTATATATATATATAATATCAAAAAATTTAAGATTCAAAAGGCGAGTATTGTCAGTGGTTTAAAGGATAATATGAATGCTACAGAGAATCATACCAACAAATGGAATTCCCTTCCGTTCCGTTCTGTCAGCTTCCATGACATCACATGCGAATCCGTGCCATTCCATGTGACGCCATTCCATGCTTGAATTCCCTTTCATGGCTTTGCATTGCAGTGCAATGTATACCATTTCATTTCGTTGGATTGCATTTCCGTTGACATTCACCCCGCCAAACCCAAA